GCGGCCTGTGCTCATGCTTGACCTCGACTTGATCTGTACTCTGAAGCTGCTGCGCCCCGCATGATCTCTCTCGCGAAGTGCCTTCCTCTGCTTGGCAATCTTTCCCCTCGGCACGAAGGTGTCGGCTGTGAGCTCGACTGCAAACGTCTCTCTGAGCTTGGCGTCGTCGCTGATGAGAGTGAGATGCACCCCCTCCATCGCCTCGCTCTCTCTGAACGAGGTCAAGGTCTGCATTCACTCTCATCAGCGACGACGCCAAGCTCAGAGAGACGTTTTGCTGGAGAGTGCCCGTACTTGCCCCAACAGCGACATACGTCTTCGGGCTCGGCCCCTTGCGACCTCTCTGCCCAGGACCCTGCAAGAGCATGCCCGCAAGTGGTTGTACCTCTGCGGCTGCAAGAGATTGCGAGAGCAGCTGAAATCGATAAATCTGAGCGATCTCAGCCGTCGACATTCCTCCGAGAGCTAAGAGCTGTGATAGCTCGGCAAGGCTCCCTCCCTTGCCCCAAGGTCCTCGCTTGGCTCGAAGCTTGAACGACCGGTCGTGTGCAATGCTCACCTCTGTGGCTCTGAACGATCTGCCGTCTATGCAGTATTCTTTCCTGCCTTCCCATAGCTCCATGGCTGCTTCATTCCGAAGGAAGGAGACGGTGACTGAGATGTCGTCTGCTCGTGCTATCTCAGGTCTGTAAGGTGCTTTCCACATGATGGCCTTGTCGACTCCATCGACTGAGTCTACCATGAGACCTAGCTCCATAAGCTTCGATTTCAACTTTTCCGAGTCTTCTTGTCGAACATACATCGAGGAAATCCCTAGGAGAGTCATGGAGATGAAGGAGGTCCCCTCGGTGCCTTCGGTGCCGCTGTACCGGTCTGCCTCGGGAAGGGGCCCGGTTGCCTCGGGAAGGGGCCCGGTGCCTCGGGAAGGGGCCCGGTGCCTCGGGAAGGGGCCCGGTCCTAAACCCTAAACCCTAAACCCACAACGGGCCATCCAAGAAGGGTCGCTCTGCCGGCTCCTAAACCTTAAACCCTAAAGCGTAGGTCGCGCAATAATCCTAAACCCTGATTTCCAAGCTCAGAAAAGAGGGGATTAAAATGGAGAAATGCAACATGGTATGACAAGCATGCGGGTCATCGGCAGCGGGAAAGGACCAGAATCGATCGAGGGAAGTAAGGCAACACAACAGTAAAAAGAACACCAACAACATCAAATGGATCAGTTCGTGCAGAAAAGATTTGATTCTCACGTAAAGAATTTTGCAAGCGTCGAGGCATGGAACAGCTTTACGGTTCCCGAAAGTGAACGATTGTTGAACAAGTTTTATGGGTGCATACAACGAAAACACATCCGTCTCACAAGCATAATTGATTTGGAAGGACCCAAAGACTCGTTACTTCAACGGCTTCTCGTCTTCGAAGAGGAGGATTGGCCGGAAGACGAGCTTTGTCTGCATATCATGACATCAGACAGATGGAAAGGTCGTAGTGACGAGGTTCTATCAGATAGGGCGACAACCTCTAGCTGGATTTCTGCTACGATCAAAGTGATTCAAAGAAGACGAGGAACAAATTCTCTCTGCGAGATGAAAGCAGAAGCCAGAAAGTCAGATCAAGCCGTCCTGTTTGTCGATACAGCATGTGATGACGACAAGCATGCGCAGAAGGAGGCAATACACATGATTGAGCTTGTTCTCAAGGAAGAAACATTCACAGATACCTTCTCGAAGAGAAACAGGTAAGAAAGTAATATCATTGCGAAGAAATCAGGTAAGTATGTAGTAGTAACTTTGATGTCTTGCCAGTGCCTTATCCGATCAGTCGAAATTTCGCTCGAAGAAGTTCGTCGACTCTCTTACCCAGCTTAGTTTCGAGTCAGACCTCATTTTCCTGGAGCATCCCCGGGTGTTCGGCCTGTGCATGGGGCTGAATGAGTACAAGGGAGAACTAAAACCTCTTGAGACAGCAGTGCAAGATGCGAGGGAGCTGCATGACAAGCTCTGCTCGCTCCCTCAGTCGCATTCGGTTCTGAGCTTAAATCCTAGGAGTCCGAGTGAAATGAGAAAGTATTTAAGAAAGAATCTGAAACAGCTTATGCCAGCCAGTCCAGAGCTTGTGATATTCTTCTATGCGGGTCATGGATTTTATGAGCCAAGAAAAAAGGATCAGATGTTGGTGCCTGTGGACGTTGAGGAAGTGAAAGGATTGTCTACACACGAGATAAATGATCAAATGCTTTCAATCAAGGATTTATTCAAAATTTTTAGAGACTTTGAAAACGATATTTCATTGTTTCATCCGATGGTGCTTGTAATTATTGACGCATGTCGGGAAAAGATTGAGGGTGTCACTGAGGAATTGCCCCAAGACCAAGAAGATAAGAAATTGCCGCAAAATTGGTCTTTGTTGCTGACATGTGGGAAGGGCAAAGTAGCAAGCGATAACTCGATATTCTTCAAGGCGCTTCTCGATCCTCGCGAAGGAATGTTTGCTTGCAACAGACCTCTTGAAGGGGTTTTGCAGTCATGTTGCAGAACATGTAAAGGAAGGCAACCTTGTATCTCTATGAACACTTATACCATCCCGGAAGATTTCTGCCTGGTAAGAGACGGGGAGGCTCTGAGAGATATCAAGATGAGTATAGCTGGACTAAACAAAGCTGCGAAGGAAATCGCTTCAAGTCAACTTTCCGACACAGACACGTCAGAGACAGAGACTTTTGTGCTGGCGTACAGCCCTGAAGATGCAAAGTCTTTCAGAGACAGAACCAAAGATGCGTTAAAGTATTTTCTGTCACAGTCAAAGCAGCGAGCAGATAATCCGCGATGGAGGATTTGCTCGATTGTCCTGATGTACTTCCTGCAATACGAAGACACCAGGTTTTGTACAAGGAGGCTATTGGGATACTTCTATACATACATGGAAGATCTGATAGCAGGACCGGAGCTAGTCAATGATGTGCTCGAGTACATCTCTCGGAACAAGATTTTGTCGCCATCGTTCGGAGCGTGGAAGAAAAGTCAGACAAATCGCAGCATTTCTGATGACAAACTGCTTATTGCGATCATAGATTATACAGTAGCAAAGGAATTGCGAAGAGTGATATCGGACACTGAGGAGCTGAATGATGCTCTAGAACTATGGAAAAAGGCGATCGATCCATGCTTTGATTCGTCAAAATCTTGGGAGGATGGAATGGATCGAATTGAAAGACATCTTCAGAAACAGGCTGCACTTGAGTGTGGCCAGAATCTCTTATTCTACTTCTATGTGCTGGAGAAAGCAGTGGCAGTCAATAGTTACGTTATGATACTCAAGATGACTAGGCTAAGCAGCGTATTCTTGCGCCATTGTCTGCTGGAATACAACAACAAAAAGGAAGGAGAGGGCATAAACAAGCTCGAGGGCTGGAGGACGTGGGTCAGCAGCACTGGCTGGATCGTCAGAAGGGACGGGTATAGGGCAGACTGGAATCACTGCAAGGAACGCTGGTGCGAGGATATGAGGAAAGGTTTCCAACAGCTTGAGAAGTTTGAGAGACCTCGAGGTTTTCAAAGATTTCAAGACTTTCAGAAAGATGGTAGCGTTGTGTCAGCATTCATGGAAAATGGTTGTGATACAAGCAACAAGCGAAGAAAGTTGGGAATCGAATATCCGTCTTCTTCTACATCTGTACGAGGTGAATTGTGTGAATCGCCAGTCTCTGGACCATCACGGCAGGAAGGATCGGACGGTCGAGGGGATCAAGAAGACATTTCTATTCTCCAATTCCACATGCAGTATGCACGGCGGTATGACGTGAAGGACTTCTTGATGGACAGGGACTTCTGGTCTGGTCTTAAATGGTACTCTCAAGACATTGATTGCTACTACTACTTTCGTATCGTCCATACCCTCGCTCACTTTGTATATGACAATCAGGTAAACCTTTTTCCATTTCACTCGCTAGTTCCTTATCTATCGGGCAGGTCGATATTGCTGTAGATACAGAAAATCCCAACGAGGAGATCGATAGCACTTTCGCTCATCCGCCCCCATCGTATCGGGCTTACCGTCCTGCAATTAGTGACTCTCCTTTCCTTTTCGGTGCAAAGGATCTACTAGAAGATGATGACTTTTGGGCCAATATCAACCAACTGATTGAGGACGAGATTTTTGAAGAACACCATCGTCAGATGGTATTGCAGATTGCTAAGTATGTAGATTTCCACAAGGTGGATCTTTATGTTAGCATGGATAATGATTCTGTCGATTCTGACGATTCCGATGAATTTGTCGATATTCCGAAATCAAACAGTCAAAGTCAATTCTAAAACTCTGGTTTCAACTTCAACTTTGATATTCACTCCTTCGGTTGAGAGAAAAATCATTTTTTTTTTAAAATATATATGCTTCCTCACAAGCACACTAGACAGATATTCATTCTGGACTTATAAAATCAAATGATGACAAACAAGCAATTGAGATATGCATTATAAAGCTGGCAGGGTAATATTCCCAGAAAAAAACCAGAGTAGCAGCAGTAGTATTAGTAGAAGAGTTTATAAGAATGCTAGGTGAATAGTAGGATTGCAAGCCTTATCACCTTGCTCCTTCTCTTCCTTGCTTTTCTCCTTTCTCCCTCCCTCCCTCCCCCTCCCTCCCCCCTCCTTCCTGCTTCCCTCTTCCTCTCCCTGCTTCCTTAGGTATATTCTTATTCCCTTCCTACTGAAGATTGTGTAGATGTAGATTTTGGCAGGACAGACTCTCCTTAGCTAATCAATTCGAATCTTAAACTTGAAAGGTCAATTGAAACAAATTTGATCGATACGAAGGCAAGAAATCACTTCAATAGGAATCATGGAAACAGTACATCAATTCTTGCTTGAAGAAGACCCTTCATCAGCCTCGAGGTGTAGGAGGGTTCTTCATGTTACGAAAGAAGTCGATCCATATGTTTTGACCTCCAACATCGTCAAAGAACGCAGCCTTGCTAGGCTTCGATAGCGTCCTCCATTCACCGTCTGCTTGCTCCAACAGTTCCTGATGCCGATCACTGACACCCATCATCCCCGCCATACAGCTAGAGCCGTAAACAAACTCCGCGGTGAATCGCAGCGAGCGACCCCCCAATGCACCCGCAAACACGTTCTCAGAGCCATATTTCTCTTTGGCGTCCTCCTTCTCAAATGCAAATCGCAAGGGATCTTTTGCCGTCTCGAGAAACTTCTTCCAATCCCACTTTTCGGGCACGACCTTGTGCTCAACTGCAAGTTTACAGAACACCAGGAAATCTTCAACGATCGGCTGCTTACCCGATGTGCAGTAGAGGCCATGAAGAAAGCATCCTCCCCAGACGTAGTCGTCGTCAGCGCGCATGCGATAACAGTCCACCAACCATATCCTTTGCTCCTCCGGGGTGAGGCCCTTCGCCCATCCCTGGGGATTGATGTCTTTGTCAAAGTGTCGCTTGTTGTCTTCTTCATCCGTGTCTGAATCTGTATCGGACTTCATTCCAGCTTTTTCAAACATTTTTCGAATATTTTCTTCGTCGATTGCTGCTGAAGCTGACTTGGCCATTTTGTTGAGATCTTTCAACCTTCGCTGTATTTCATTGTTGGAAGGATCGAGTTCTAGCGCCTTGCGCATGCATGCCACAGCAAGTTCAAACTCATTGTTCTCCTCATGCACTCTGCTTCTTCGATAATGTCCTTTTGCCCAGTCCGGCTTGAGTTCAATGCATTTGTCAGCATCACGACGCGCCTCGTCATGTCTCTTGAGAGCAAGGAGCGATGCGCTTCGGTTGCTGTAGAGAACTTCATTCTGTCCCTCCTCCTCGATGGCTCTCGAGTAGAGCTTTACAGCCTCCTCAAACCTTCCCGCCTTGAACGCATCGTTTCCTTCCTCTTTCAGCCCCATTGCCGCAGGTGTGTAAAACCTTATTTTTTTCACTTCTTATCCTGGGGCAGCAGAGCAGACAAGAAACAATGGGGTAGGTTTCATTTGCTGTCTTCTAGTTTGCATTTCCCGCGCTGCCGCCATTCGTTCACAATGATGAACTGCAAGCACACCAATGCAACCCGCATCATGCATGGGCTACAAAGACAACCCCATCCCTCCCCTCCCTCCTGCTCCCCCCCGCCCGTGACTCCTCCCCCCTCCCCAACCCTTCCTCCTTCCCCTACTTCGCCAACTAAATATCAACTCCTCTATCTCTTTGATGTGCAAGGATTTCTGAGTAGATGCGAACTTGCAGGCAAGCGAATTCGCTGTCATATCACGTCCCTAAGATGTCCCTCACACCTTCGAAGCAGGTTTGTGCAGAAACAAATACCTGACATTTCTGACATTGACGGTTTGCAGACTGCAGCTGCTGAAGATGCTCCGACTGTCAAGAAGAGGCCAAACCCATCCGATTCTAATTCGCGACCTGCAAAGAAGCAGAAAGTGTACACTTCAGTACCAAGGACACGAAAAGGAGTGATTGCCATGATCCAATCTTGGGGATATGAGAACGTAGAGGAAGCATCGAAATGTGCTATTGGTGGGCTCGCACGAGGTGCACTAAAGGTAACATTCTTGATATCCTGAAGACCAACACGTGAAGTATAATAGTGCTTGACTCTTTTTTGGTTTGCAGATTGACTTCAATGCGAAGCTTGATTCCATCGCGTGGAAAGGAGTGTGCGAGTATTGCCAGCATCCACTTCAAACGACGCTTCGTGCCCTTCTTGACCAGCCTGACAGTGGTATAGACTATGAGGAGGGGTCTCCAGGGGCAGCCATTGTTTGTCCCAATGCAAGCTGTGGAGAAAGGTATTATCTGACTTGCATGTGCGCAAACGATGCCTACCCTACCCTCGGGAAATATCACAAGCACTGCCGTGAATGCCCAGGATTCGGCATGTGCATGCCCGATTGTCGCTTTTCTCACTGCAATGTGTGCGGGGATCATTGGGTTGGAGCAAGATGCGGATTTGGCTGCTTTAGGTGCCATGCCAAAAAAGAATCGGAAATGATGTGGCAGAGCATTGCAAGATTCCGAGACGCGAACAATGCTGGAGGCCTCGGACAATGAGAACTGGGCCAGTATGAGTCTGGCAGTCGATCCGATCTTTGACAGTGTGTCGGGCCACAGCCTCCGTTGAGACTCACTGCCATGATTCGCATAATGAAATATTCTGTACACGACACGTTCTTCTCCTTCTCGTTTCACTGGCTGACTCAAGGATACTACTAGCTACTTTCCGACCAGGTACTATTTGTGGCCGGGCGGCCCAGAGGGAATTAATAAAAGCTTCGGATAAAAAAACAAAATTCCAGGCTGCACCAGGCAAACAGCTAGCAGAGATATAAGCGCAACCAGCAGACAGCAGACCCAGCAACAGTGCGCCATGTTGGGGGCTCGGATCGTGTTGGCGGCGATGGCCGCAGAGGCCGCGATGGCCTTCAACTGTATGTCTCCTGCGACTGCCTTCCGATCTTTATCACGAGTGCATTCCCATCCCGCTCCCCGCTCTGCAAGACTGGGGCTGCTTCGAATGGCCGGCGGTTCGCCTATGGCAGCAGCAGACGAGAAAAGAAGGGAGGGCAGTGCGGACAAGTTTGCTCTTTTGTTCGACTGTGACGGGGTGATTGTGTTGACTGAAGAGCTTCATCGCCTTGCTTATAATGGTGCGTTCCAAGACTATTCTGCCGAGGTCACTCGTATCCTCGTTATGCTCCTCTTACTCCCCTCCCAGATCAACGGCCAGCCGGTGAATTGGTCTGTGGAGTACTACGACGTGCTGCAGAACACCGTGGGTGGAGGCAAACCCAAGATGAAATGGCATTTCAACAACAACGGGTACTTCCTCGCCTTGACGAGTGCAGTATGAGTGCTGGTGACTTGCTGAGACCATCACAACAGCTGGCCGACATCCAAGCTTGGCGGAGTGCCGAGTAGCGAAGATGATCAGAACAGACTGATTGATGAGTTGCAAGTTAGACCCATGCGTTTGAATTGCTTCTTCTGACAGTAGTTCAGGACAAGAAGACAGAGATCTATAAGAAGATAGTCAACGAAGTGGCCGAGGCGAGACCTGGAGTCCTCAGCTTGATGGACGAGGTCGGTATGATGGATTTATGCTCCCAGCTCACAAGGACTTCAGGCGATCAAGACTCCCGGCATTGCCGTCGGTATCTGCTCGGCTGCTACGAAAGCTGGATTCGAGCAGGTTGTGAACTCTGTCGTCGGGACGGAGGTGAGAAAGTCAACTTGACATGTATGTGCGCCGCTCACTGTTAGCAGCGCTTGTCCAAGCTGGATGTTGTCATTGCAGGCGATGATGTGCCGAGAAAGAAGCCTGATCCTATCATCTACCAGTTGGCTTCTGAGAGAATTGGAGTTCCTCCATCACGGTAAGAACATCGTTCTGTTGCTGAACAAAAGAAACCTTGAGATGCAGATGCATTGTCGTGGAAGATTCGCTTGTGGGGCTTCGTGCTGCCAAAGGAGCCGGAATGAAGTGCATCATCACGTACACGGAGTCGACCAAAGATCAAGATTTCTATGGAGAAGGAGCAGACGCAGTTGTAGCCGATCTCTCACAGGTTGGTAGGTTCGCCAGTCACGCGGATTGAATCGTTTCCTGCAGGTGAATCTTGACACCATTTTCGAGCCTCTCATGCGAGGAGAGGATTCTCTGCTTGAGGGAATCAAAGAAGCCAGGAAATAGAAGGGTGGGACGTAAAGAATGAACTGTCGACACTTTCAATATTTGAAGTTTTACACAACTTTGTCAAAAGCTACAAAGAAAATTGCATTCTTAGTTCACATGAAATTCTGAATTTTCAATCCAATCTTCATACTGCAATCTTTCCCTCTTCAGATGCCGGGCCCCAAGGGGAAGGAAGAGAGATCGAGCTCGACTTCATCAGGACAACTCCCAAACCTCTTGCTCTCGCGGGACTTCATCCTAACATAGTCGATCAGTTTTGACGAGTCCTCACTTGCTGGCTCAACGGCAGAGAATCGTGACATGTCCGGCAGTTCAACCGCCTCTCGACAATTGACGGTGAAGGTTTGGCCTGATCTTGCCTCAGGACTGTTTGAAATCCAATTTTTCATTGCAGCTGTTTCCTTCAAGAAGCTGGTCATGCCATCAGTAACTTGTTGTGCTTGCCGCACCTTCGTCTCAAGTCTTTCTTGCAGCTCGATCACACTATCCCTGCCATTATTTCGGAACTTCTCCAGCTGCCTCTCTATTGCTGTATAAAGTGACACCAGTCGCTCCTCCTTATCCGCCAGCCGAGAAAGGATTGTCGAATCTTTCTCAAGCTTGATTCCAGCATCACCCAGGCGTATATTTGCTTCTTCCATACTGTCTTGTAGATGGTTCTGATTGATGACCAACTTCATCAGATTGGCTTCGATCTTTGACAAGTCATTTCCCATTTGCTTGGAATTGATAAGCACTTGATCTATCTTCAACTCTTGTTGACCATTGAACGCAATTTCCTTCATGAGGTTGTCAACACTCCTTCTACTCAACTTCACTTCGTTAAGAAATATCGCAATTTTCTCCATCGCCCATTCTTGGCACTGCTGCTCAAGCAGAGATTTTTCTCTTGCACCACACGAGGGTTCGTACCATTCTGTCTGACAAAGTTTCTCAGTTCTTTCGATATGGTATTGAGCTTCTCGATCACAGTAAGAAGACTCTGAGTGCCCTAGGCATTGCCAAACAATCTTTTCCGCTTGTTCTGGTGAAATGATGTTTTCCTCATCCTCATCCGCGCGATCATCTGCTTGTAAGCTTTGGTCTTGACATTTAGGAACTGTTGCTTCCGCTCGTATTTTCGGACTTGCTTCCAAACTCTCATTCAGAGCAAAATCTAACTCTTCTCTAACTTTGATGATTTCACGTAAAATCGAATGAATCACATTTGTAGAATTGGGATGTGAGGTCAAACATTCCATCTCAGAATGGGCCTCCCCATCACCTTCCAGGACTTGAGTAAACGTTTCATAAGCTGATGGTGAGGTTCCAACAGTGTCCAGACTTAACTTGCGCACAAGTTCAATTCTGCTTTCTGGATCGCAAAAACGTGGACGTTGGAAGGTCTTGGTCGACATCTTTGAGGACTGAAGCGACACCGCCGTTCGGTCTGAGCTGCAGCTTCTCGCCGTAGGTTGTCCCCCCCCATCGGAATGCGTTGTATCGTGACAACGATTTACGCCCATGTCACACACCTTGTTCTGGATCCAGAAGAGTTTTCTTTCAACGTCCCTCAGCTGATCTGTCTCGCGCTTGTACATCAAAATCTTTGCTAGAGCTATCCTCTGCTCTCTCAGTTGATCAACAAAGTCGCGTTCCTTCAATCCTTGAAAAATACCATTTTGAGTCAAGAACTCTCTTGAACAACGAGAATCAGTCCTCAATTTCTCGCAATTCATCCCTGTTTCTGACCTCTCATCCTTTGTGCTGCCTGAGTTGGATGAATGGAAGACTTCAGGCTGAATATCCATCAATGGATTGCGCGAACCCAGTGATTGTGGTCCACGTTTCAATGGGTCTATCGATGAACTGCCTGAAGCATAATTTCTCTCACTCAGTTGTATTTCCACCATATATTCTGGGCTCATGGTAATATCTCGGCGAGATTTATTCACCGCTGAGTGGGTTCTTGGTTTTATGTGATTTTCTGTCTCGAGAATTGAACACAATTTATCAACATCATCTCCGCTTGATGTGTTGAAGACTTCAACAATTTGAGAACAAGTGAAAGAAGCAGGTGTACCTGGCCGTGCGGCATCGTCCGTCATTGAATTTGACAAATTACAGATTGCGTTTGCGTGTTTCTGGATTTCCTGCTGCAGAGTTGAAAACGAAGCATCTGAAATTCGTGGGTCGTTCTCGTTGTATTGCTTTTTCACCAGTTGTGTTAGTACCTCTACGTCCTTGCGGAGATTGTCGATTAGGTCACACATCGCAGAAAAAGCTTCCGACTTTCCATCGCCCAAACCCAGAAATGTTTCATTCAGATTCAGGTCATTTGTACCATCAGGACATTTTCTCGATACCTGAACCCAAAACACAATGGTCAATGTGTGTAAATAATGAGGTCAAATCACCTGACGATCTGTATTAGACAGCATAGTCCTCTGGTTATTGGCGGAGGCATTGATCGTTTCAAACGTCGCAAGAAGAGGTCGGCACTCTGTCATGGATTGTTGTATATCACACGTACAGTCTCTTGCTTGCGTCCCCATCTCTTGATCAGCTTCCAAATCGTCAATCTCACTTTCTTCCCACTCAATTTCAGATGAGGACACGTCAGAAGCTGTATCCGAACAAAACCTATCAGCACTCGCTGTGACAACAGCAGCTGAGCACAAGAATGATTTTGGCATATCATCGTCCTCAGGTTCAACCTTGTGGCCAAAATCACCTTCATCTTCATCTTCATCTTCATCGTCTGCCGACTCCTCCATATCATCAAGAATTCGGTGATCTGCACCTCCCGCCATATCCCATTCGGCATCAAATGTACTTGCTTCATACGACGAGTGCGGAGTCCAAGACCGAATGCATGAGTTCAAAGCCCCGGGATGTAATGATATGCTGCCCCGAGCAGACTCTGTGCACATTGTTGATGCGTTTGACGTATCAAAGTCGTCGTCACTTGCACTCACTTCTCTAACTCCTCTGATTTCCTGCGAGTCTTGTAACAATCTGCCTCCTTGAATGGAAGCCAAACTCTCCATAGCCTCCTCCAGCAACTGAAGGCATCCCCGAACGCTGCTCCAAGTCTGATCAGGCTCATTCAACAAAGTTTCACTTAGTCGACCTGCAAAATGAGCACATCAATATCAGAAGACAGAACGCTTCATCGCACCATTGATGAAATCTTGAGGTCGCATCAAAAGCAAGTGATCATTTATAGATTTCTCCAGAAAAATGCAAGACTGCTCTTCACATCCCTGGCCAGACTTTCCAAATGTATCAGTCATATCTTGATGGATTAAAAGGTCTTTTCCGAATTGAAATGATAGCATACTATTGTGTTCCATATCTGCAAGCTCTAATTGCCTTTCCGTGGGAACATCCTTGGCGGGCGAAGATTTCACGGAAGATGCTTCACTCGCTCCTGCCATTGCTTGTTCATCACTCAGAACGGGCATGGCGTCGTCTTGGTTCGGATGTAAGGTTTCATGGGCATGGGACTGAGCTAATGCTTGCATCAATTCATAACGCTTGCTTCGAAGGGCAAGAATCTTTCCACTAAGAATCTCGCTCTTCTTGTCGCTGCCCTCGGTTCCACTGAGAAGGTGTTGATGCTGCTGTCGCAACTGACGAGAGTTTCTGACTTTCTCAGGTGTGACTTGCTTTCTCCTCTCGATAAAATCTTGTTTCATCATTCTCTCGCTGTCTACGTCATCATTCCTGTTGACATGGCGCGAACTCTGAGTTTCAGCATCTGAACTCTCTGGCTCTTCGATCCTCTGCATTTCATCAAGCAGTCGCTCAATGTCTGAGGCCTCAGGTGCTGCATGCCGTCGGCTCTTCTCCATCATCTTCTCCATGAACTTCTTGCCTTCCCCGCCCGCCATTTCGCCACTCCCCAACTTGAGTGCCTCGTCCCCGCTCATGAAATAATATCTGGGCCCAGATCTGGGCCCGCATCCCTCCACAGGTCCCACTATCGAGTCGGTCGCCATGTCTCACCCAGTGTCGCCTGGCGCGGGCTAGATGGCGCGGGAGTGGCGGGTGAGGGGGGGAGGGACAGGAGGAGGAAGTTCGAGCACATCCGGCATGGATTCTCAGACGAGAGAGCTGCAGCAACTCGTCGCCTTGTGAGGCTCCATAACTCTCTCTCCGCAGCTGATCAACCTCAGGTGGAAACATATGAAGCAGATCCCGCGGCGACAGTCCGAGCGGAGGCTCAATGCAGCGAAGCACATGTACATGAAGGTAAGACGCTGCTGTAAAGTTTGGACTCTGACGTTTGAGTGAGACTTTGGACTCGCAAGCGCTATGCCCCCAGATGAGAAAAGCAGTACTGGACAGCCTGAAGAAAGACACCTATAGGTGAATCCTCCCTCTACACCGTTGTAAGGGATCGTGAATTTCAACCAGTCAACTCAAATACATCGTTGAAAACTCATCTCTACCAAGGAGAGAGTATCTGATGATTGAAGTGGTAAGTTCTTTACCTCCTTGCATGCATAGCAGTTAATTGCGTATTTGACAGAAACAGGTATAGCCTCGCAGCCCACAAACATCAAGAGTAAATTGAATTTTTCACCAGATGCTTTCCAAACATCATCTGTCAGAGTTTTGGCTAACAACCCAATCATGGTTGTTCGCTCAGTCACTATCAAGATCTCACATGTCCTGCTCGCCAAGACGACGCACTTGGCATCAGTTCGACATGGAAGGCTGCGAACTTCTTCAGTCTATGGGACCCCGGTGATGAAGGCGACCATAGTGTCTTGGCTGACAAGAAACCCAGTCACATCTGCGCGAAGGGATGTTACTTCCTGCATTATGCTCCTGCTAGGGAGGCTGCGAGGTAGGGCGCGCTGTTGATGCTTCATCTCTTGACATGCACAGGCTGAGACGATGGGTTGAAGCCCAAGGGGGCAGCCAGTCACTTCTCAACGGGTGGTACGCCAAGATGGAGAGAGCCGGGTGTGTGATGCCGTCATGATTTATGAGAGGCTCACCTACGAGCAGGAGCCAAGTTCTATTCGTTGCTCCATCAGGCATTTGCCAGCAGGCAGAAACAGGAAGTCTGATATCATGCTTTCAGGACAATGTTTCACATTTTCCGAAGCGAATTTTTATCTCTTGTCAGAAATCTCTGCATCCGTTGCTGAGGCGTCAAACTCCTGCGCCTCCCAGCAATCAGGTCTTGACTCACGAGACGATAGGACAATTCTGATCCTGACCAACAGAAGCAATGCTTGAATTAAACACTTCACTCTCACAAATAGCTATGCCAGAACACACTCGACGAAGATCGTCAAAAACAGTTCGAAGTCACTTCTTTGTTACAGAGAAACGTTGGGCAAGCTGTGGTCGTGTTGCACATGCATTTGTCCAGAGCAAATTTTTCTGCATTGGAAAGGACTCTGGCGACTTCTGCCCATTTTTCCTGTAGTCCCTTGAATTGAAATTCATAGTTGACTGCCTTATATTTCAGGAGATCCATCAGCTTGAACTTGTCCGAACAGGATCCTTTCATGGAGGGGAGAAAGATTGAAATCTGTTCACCTCTCGTGCAGCAGTGTGGTAGGACTGGTATCTTCCGCAAGAACCAAGCGCTCTTTCGTCGTGCAGTATCGTATAGCACAAGCTCATCAAGTCCAGGTGCTGTCCACTAATGGTGTTACAGGAGACATCAATGGCTTCCTCCTCCCAGCCCTGTGAGTCAACCGTGCAACGTATGTCATTTTGAAACTTGTTCTAGTACGGACTGCTTGAGGAAATCGTGTGGCCTGAGCCCTGGAAATTGTTGGTAAGGGATGAAGAATTTTGTTCTGGTCCCTCTCAGTGCAGTCCTGCAGTTATCATGTATCCTCTTGAACAGAACAAACCGACGGAACGTGAGCTCACTTGCTCTTTTTGTGGATTGGAAAACATTGATTGATTGCCACTTGTTGAACAGGTGGATCGAGTTCTCTTTGAACTTCTCAACAGATTTCCCACCATAGAAGTTCTCGCCAGTCAGGTTGAGATTATGTTGTTAGATTCTTGTTCTCAGCCAACATAGGATGCTCACGCCATCGGCGCCATCTTACAGCCGCTGGGGATGCATAAAAACCGGAGCAGGTGAATGGAGGCGGCGGAAGGGAGCCGAGTAACGGGGATGCAGGACCATTATTGCCTTCAGTCGAGCATTCTTGCGAGGAGACTGGCTCTCCCCCCTTGACCTTCCTGGTGAAGGGTCAGCGGAGTCTACGCGCCCCACTCATGATGCCCACAGGGATAGGCGAGTACGGTATGGATGCGTATCAGATATTTTGCGAGGGGAATTGGCAGACGGTTCAGCCAAAAGACCAAGCTTTGAAGCTTTATGTAGACTTCCTATGGACATGTGAATTGTAGTTTGCACCAGGTCGCAGTTGGCTATCTTCTTAAAAGCTCTTGCCAATGATCTTGTTCAAAGTCTCACTTGGCCGCATCGCCTTTTCAGCCTGACAAACGCAAAGATCAATCCTCACAGAATTTCTCAAGAATTAGCTACAAGAGCATCCGTGGGCTTGTAATAACCTCCAATGTCTACAGCCTTGCCCTGCTCACATCGCAAGCAAGTCAAGACCACTCGGAGTAGGATGAGGCTCTGCAGCACCTGACACTTGATAAGATCTTCCATGATCTGACTCTCGTGAGCCGCAAGCGCATCCGCAAGCTCGCTATGACATGGTCACTCGAACACAAGTAGCTAAGCGCCGCTCACCCAAAAGAGGGGTCGTATTGCTTCATCGCCTGAGCCCAGAAGAGAGCAACATAGAAGGTGCTGCCGCGATTGTCGATCTCGTTGACCTCACAAAAACTGAGACTCTGAACCAAGACAGGACTCATGAATCCAGTACCTTCCTGGACGGTGAGAGATTCTTCTCCAACAATGCACCCACAGCCTTCACCAAAAAATTCACCAAGTTTGAAACCGACACAAACCATTTTACCGTGTTAAGAGCCTTGGAAAGGTTGACGGCCTTGACATTCTTGGACTTGTTTCCAATGTCTTCTAGTGAACAAGCCTAGATTGAATGAGAACCAGATTAAAACGGGTATAACAAACCAACCAGGGCCAGGTACTCTCCAAGCGAATCCTAAATGACCAGCGGCAGCAATTTAGAGTCATCATCGTGAACCGCAAAAAACAGACCCATCGAAGATGTCCTTCATCAACGAATTGCTGGACATGCTTCGGTGCTGAGCCACCGGCTCCAGTTTCGTACAATCCTCCACCAGCAAGAAGCGGCACAATCGAAAGCATCTTCGCTGAAGTTCCCAACTCGAGGATGGGAAAGAGATCTGAAAGGACAAAATTTACAAAAAGCCAAGCCACACGACCGAAAACCTGTGAGGTAATCACGAAGTACATTGCCGGTGACTGAAATCGTGTCCTTTCCAGCACTTTTGAAAAGAAATTCAGCATGATTCCTTGCCCATATCATGTCAAAGCTTACGTGGACCGTTCCATCGTCATCTTGATGGCCACAGTGGGCTTCTCGATGCGAATATCCAATCCTTTGGTATCGTGTTCTTTCAGATATTCTTTGACCTGAATGATTTTAGAATGAAAAAAAAATTAATGATTGCCAACCTTGTCAATCAAAACCCGGTCGTGAGCTCTGGCTTCATCGAGCCAAAAGATTGCAGGCGAATTGCTGTCTCTTGCACGATTGACTGCGAGTTTCACCCAATCCCTGGGGTAATGCCTGATAAGTGACCATTAAGAATCGTCATTGTTGTTCACTTGATTGGGGCATCTTTCGTCTGGCACATCCTCCAAATATCTCCCTGTGTTACAATATGACTATTTGCAGGCTTTAGGCAAACAAATTAGATACCTTCTCGACTGCATGCTCGAAGATAACTTTGCCCTTATCATCGGTGATTCGGATCTGAAAGATTCCAATCACTGCGGTTACTTCTCATTGGTTGCTTTGGATACATACCTTTCCACTATTTTGCATGATGAAGGTCTTGTCGTGAGATCCGTATTCTTCAGCTTTCTGTGCCATAAGACCCACATTGGACACACTGCCCATCTTGGAGGGATCAAACTGCACACGACAGGCCCTTTGAGAAAGCAACGTTCAAGTCGTTGTTATGTTCACCTGCCCATTCTTCTTGCAGTAATCAATCATCTCTGCGTAGATTGTTGCGTAGCATCGATCCGGAATCACACACTGGACAAAGTTTTGCCTTAAATCTTCATGCTATTCAGATGTCAATTTAATCACGCACACCTTTGTGTCTTGGAGCTTGTCTTCTTTGTTCCACATCTTCATTCCAATGTTCAGATGCGCATGGTACAGAGCAAATATGTTTTACCTTGCCAGAGTCACGGATCACAACGGGCATAGATGCATCGATGATGACGTCGCTGTTTGAATCTTGTGAAATTTTGAAAATCTTAATTCCTCATAATTTCACCTCGGAACATGCAGGTTGGTAATTCCTTTTCTAGAATCAACCTGAGTCCCAGGATCAAGAAAGTTTCGAAAAAGCAAAGGTAGAAACCATGGCGACATCAGGACGGGATTGGTATTGTTTCATCAGGTCGCTCTCAATTTCCTTCCGCTGAAATCGAATGAAAACATAGAAATCAATCAAGACTACAATTCTGTTCCGACTAGTGAACCTGCGCTTCAGGAAGTGATTTGATCTTGTCATAAACATCTCCGATCCCATTGTTTGGATTCACGCCAATCTGAGAGAATTGGATATCTAAATGAAATATTCTTTCATTGATCAAAGCACCTTATCAAAGGTGTCCTTGTGCTTGTCAAATACATCCTTCGAAATCGCATTAAGCAATTGCGTAAAAAGGCGAACAGGTACCTTGTAGAAAACTCGGACGACGTTTCCAAACATGACTGGGTCAGAGACCTTCATCATGGTAGCCTGAATGAAATGGTTTCTTCAGGGCGTATGAGGAATGTAACAAGCCCAGAACCTTCATATGCAGGGAGAACAAGATGCCCTTTGCTTTGGCATCCGCAATCTAGCAGTTTGCAAATCAGTGAATGTTGAATTGATATTACTTCATTGTGCCTGCTCCTCAACAAAAGCAGAAAACTTCTTGGCACTCATCATACTTGCGTCGATGACTTCTTTTGCCTACAAAATTTCTTCTTCAACAAAATCGCCATTCGAAGATGTAGACACACTACCTGAAGCTGAAGCGGTTTGCGAAGCTCTTTCACGCTCCCATCGGAAGCAACAAATTCAAACTTGATGCTGTTACACAGTCATTAGAGTGAAAAAGAAGAGTAGAGGTTTGATACCTTCCAGACTCTGGCATCACATAGGATTTCTCGCTCCCATAAAAATCGCCATCTGTCATATGTGACACGTGAGTCTTGCTGTCACTAGCCCAAGCACCCTGTAAGGAATCATCATTCAACCAAGAAACTTCCAGCCAATATGATTTACAAGCTTCTTAGGGTGCTTCATTGCATGGGCCTTCACAGGAAGCGCAACACGGCGATCAGAGTTTCCTTCACGCAATACTGGGTTTACAGCACTGCCAAGCACCTGAGAAACTTCTTTCAGACATTTTGTAGTTCTAGCGATATACAACTTTGGCATATCGTGCATGAATCTCGTGCTCTGCGTCGTTCTTTGGCACTTGGGGAAAGCTTGGGACATCATAGCCCTTCTTCTGTAGCTCTTCAATGGCCTCGTACAACTGCGGGATGGAAGCGCTGATATTAGGCAACTTGATTATATTTGCTTCTGGCTTCAAAGAAATCTTTCCCAAAGCAGCGAGATTATCCGGCATCTGCTGGCCCGGTTTCAATTTCTCGGGAAAGTGAGCAAGGATTCGTGCAGCCACAGAGATGTCGCTCTTCTCGATTGCGACACCCGCTGGATCTGTAAAACGCCGAATGATGGGAAGAAACGCATAAGTGGCAAGCAGAGGAGCCTCGTCGGTCAAGGTGTAATAGATCTTGTGATCTGAACTCATGGACCTTGCCTTCAGGGTATGAGGGCATGTCCTTGACCTACACGGAACGTAGGATTTGGCAGGAACAAAGCTCGCTCGAATGATCCTATTCATCTTGAACCACGTGAGTCAGATTGGGAGGGTTATGGATTATTCGTGCTGAACGAGGTTGGCGAAAATCAAGGGAAAAGCATGGCAGCGAACGAAATAGTATAGAAACAAAGAAATTAATCAGTTGATAATTGATGAGAAATGAACAAAAAAAACATTCCTGAAAACTATCCTCAAAAATAACAGATCGAGGATGTTACTTTACACCCCTAGTCTCGCAATACCCTTGTCACAAATCTAGGTTCTTTTTCAAGTAGTCAGTCTCTCTCCTCGCTGGATTGATCTCATGCTGGTACATACCTAGATATGTTCGATATCTACCACAACAACATGATATCAATCATCTACCAGACTGCCTCCGTTTCTCTTCTCCTCCCCCTGTTGCTGTGCATCTCCCATGTCCTTCCTTACCCCGACCCCCCAGCCACTCTACCCTAATAATTCCAAAGATACCACCGTCTCCAATTCTGCCCCCACCCACCATGTGCCATAAAACGTCCCCACCCTTTCACACAACTGTGATCACCCCTACCCCAATTAAAATCATCCTCGATTGTCCCCACCCCAACTTTTCCATGCAAAATGCTGACACTGTATTGCAACCCATCGTGAGGCGTTGAGCTACCCCTACCCCTGAACTTCCATCAATGTACCCCACCCATGGGCAGGAAACCGAGGCCAGCACTGACCGGTAGTACAGGACTTGCCTCGGAAGGGTCGTATCTCGACGCTCCTTCCTCCGAGGGCTCTTCTTTTCTCCGTGCCAGGCTCACTGTCACTCTCAGTGAGCTTCCAGCCTGATTCGGATTCTGGCCGCCCGGCCCGGCCGGGCTGCGAGCTGGGCCCGCCGCGGGGTCGGGCTCGGCTGAGGGCCCGGTCGAGCCGTAAAAATATACTTTGAGTAAAGTTTTATAGAAGCCAAACGGTCCGAAAGAATAAAGATTTAACATGAGCACACAAATCTAAGTTGCACTGAAACAATAACATAAGCGATGAGCACTCAAATCTTTGCGACATGCAGAACTTCTCGATCCTCCTGCAAGTGCCTGATAGTAAGCGTGATGCGTCAGAGCGATGAGAACTAGATTAGCTCGAGAAGTACGGGGGTAGCCAGCAGACGCCTGAGTCGCAGAAGAAGTGCGCGAGAGCAGCGATGGGTGCCTGCGGCCAGGCAGGTCAACCTGCTGCGTTGAAGCTACACACCTCACATTCTTCAACCCATGACGAACGTACACGTACGACGGCTAGTGAGATGTCATGAGCTGGAATGTAGAAAAACAGCGTGCCTGAGCGCCATGAAAGCTGCAAGGAAGATTGCATCGGCCCAGGAGCGTCAAGTACCTGGGGGACATCAGCCGATGCTATATGCTCAAAGATTTCACTCACGGTTGTAGTGGTAGGGATCTGAGAGTAACCAGGATCTGAAAACTCTCTGACATGTACTATGAAAGAAGTTGGTAACACAAACGAATGTTTGCACAGAAGAAAGGAGTTTCACCAGATTTCTTGCAACGCATCGTAAAAGTCGATCATCTGTATGATTGTCAGGACATCCGTGAGGTTACAACAGGAGCAAACCGAAGCAAACAGATGACATGAACACATGTGTTGCGTCCTGAAACATCTCAGCATTGACCTCATTCTCATCATATAACGGCCATGCATCACTTTGTAAACTTGATTCTGAATGTTGTCCTCGAAGAAGTGAACCTACTTATGGCATCAGCAACTTATTAATGATAATCTTTGTATCCCACAGGTGCGTGCTTCACATCTCTGCTCTCAATTTCTTTCAATGCTTCGATCCCATACTCGAGACGGGTTGGCGACAGCTCTATCCCTACAGCCTTCTTGACAGGGGCAGAAAGAGCCACCTGCTCGTGCATCAATACCAAAACTGCTCCTGTGAGCGACGAGAGCCTGTAGGACAACTTTCCCTGTTCCAGATCCAAGATCGTAGAAAACCTGCGCGTGTCTCAATCCTCAGAGTACATGGCAACCATTACAGTAGACGCAACCACCGCATTTTCCTTCCCCCTCCCATCCCGCACGTCATCACCGTTTGTTGGTCCATGCCCGTCAGTTGCACGAGCGCATCAACTCCAGAAGGAAGGAGCTCCCCGTACGTTGGAAAGCCACCTTGAGCCTGGTACAAGGAAAGATATGAATGTTCAGTATCAATATTTAGAATCAAGAAGAGCTTCAACCTGAATCTCAATGATTTCATTCGTCGGTAACTGCCATCCATTGTCTGCATAAAAGATTTCTTCCACATTCGCATATCTACAGGGCAAAGAAGTTTTGATCAGGATAATCGGGGGTTCTTCATGATTGTTGTAACTTTACATATCATCTAGCAAGCAAGCATTCTCAGGATGCACGTTGCAAACATCCCTGCCAAAATGTTTAGCTCAAATGACTGTTGCAAAACTCAACAAACCGAGTCTTTGCATGGAAATCAGAGACTGCATCCAGGACCGAGTTCTGCAGATATATGTCATTTTTGCTTCCTGTTGCAAACAGAAGCATATTTGCTTTTACCTGCCAATCTGTGATGTGATCTCCTGAGTCATTAGCTGGAAGGATCGTGTCCGGTTGAGAAATTCCCCTCTCGTTCAAAACTTTGTTCATGCCGATAGGGGAAATTCTTGGCGGCCCTGAACGCTTTTGAGCAAGATATCGATTGTTTTTCCTAGTGATTGTTTGTCTGCATTTTTAGATAGAATCTCATCCGAAATCTTGTCTGCTGCATTTACTCTTTGATAAAGTTGTGGTTTCAATTTATCATTCGCGTCCTCCTACAATTTTTCATATCAGCATCAAATGTTTGTAGATGGAAAGAACATGATTCACATACCAGCTGCATTTTGACTTGAATGCCTGCATGCCTACTTGTAGGTCTCCAGAGAAAACATTTTGACAAAGAGGTTGAGAAACTTGTGCACAATTCTATCTGATGGAGAACCGCTGCCACAAGAACCCATCCGAAATATGTTGAATAGCACTTCATCTCGTCGACGGTTTCGAGATTGAGTCTTGCTTCAGCTCATGCCTGTGATACATGTAAGGTTCCAATGATATGAGAACTTTCGGGTTAGTTGAATGCCAGTCAAGGCTGAAAGTTATTATCTCATTTTCCTTCTGAATACATCGCAACCAGGGTATGCACTTGCAGAGGACTGATCAGTGTTCACCTATGCTATGGAATCAGCGACGCATATGAATCTAGATCTCAGGCGTTTGCTCTTCCTCCTCCATTTCTCCTTCAGGCCATGATGCATGTTCGCATGAGGCATACAAGAGGCCGTCGCCCCCTTTGACAAACTTCACATTCTCAAATTTGTACCAAATAGACAATTATTTCCTGACAGCACATTTTTTGATGGTCAAATATTGAAATAAAAAGACTCATGTATTCGAATATATTGCAATCAACAGCCCTCACTCAAAAACAAACTGGGGATCCGATCTCAGGATTTAGTCAACCACGGTAAACCGTGACGACGGTGGCGGCACCGGGGCACGGTGCCGCACGCTGGCACGGCCGGGGGCCCGGGGCGGCCGGCCCGGTCGGGCCCGGGGCGGCCCGGAACTTCCGGGTCTTAACTCGGCGCTATCTGACTGGCACGGGTGGCATACGTGCCGGTCACGGTAGGGCCTCGGGCCGGGCGGCGTGCCCGGCGCGGCCGGTAGCCGGGCGTGCCGGTGTAGGGCCTCGGGTCCTCTACCCTGACCGGCCCGAGTCCCGGGCACTGCGGCCGCGCGCGGCCCGCGGCGCCGCCCGGCCGCTCCCCGGACACTGCCGGGCCTCACCCGGTCAGTGACGGTACGGTACGGTAGACTCATTTTTAACTTAACTTTGAGTAAACCTCAGTTGAGTTGAATGATGACGGTGCCGCCGGGTGATCAGCTGGACCGATCTGAGGTAGGATGGGTAACTAGAAGGGGAAATGGGGGGTAGGGGGCTAAGGTTGAATACCATCATCGAGAATAGGGGTGGTCTTAGTTGGAGAGAGGGGTATTGAGAGTGGGACAGGTAGGGGTGGTTACTTGGAGCGCTGGCGATGAACAGGAAGGGAGTGAATAGGAGGGAAGAGGGAGTAGATGGGAGAGGAGAGAATGAGAACAATCAAAGGTGTGCATCAGTCTGAATGACAATGAGAATGCTGGAATGCAGTTTTGTAGGGAGGAAAGGCAGAATGATTGCCGAGAACGAGACACGAGTTAGCCTATGTGCAAGTTCCCATCATAATATTGATGTTAAAACTAATCTACAGAGCTCTTCCTGTGTAACATCCATATTTTCAACTGAAAATGTTCTCAGATCGTCCGTTCTTGCCATCATGGGTTCAGATTCTTTTAGTTCTGCTACAGATGAATTTGCCAAACTGTTCCACGAGAAGCCTATCAAGCGGGTAGGATGTTTGGGAGCAGGACATGTCGGTGTTAGCACGATTGCTATCATGGCGAAGAAGTGAGGTGAACTTGTTTTCTCGGCCCTTCTTTGAGCGTGTCTGTGGCAGGATGCCCGATGTTGAATTTATGATCTTCGATGACAACCCTGCGGTTGTGTGCGCTTGCCAGTCTGGACAGCTTCCGTTTTACGAGCCAGGCATGCAAGAACTTATCGATAGCCTGAGAGGAAAGAATCTGCAGTTCACTTCTTCCATCCAATCCACTGTCCAGTTATCCCAAGCAATCTTTGTCTGTATCAACACCCCCCTGAAGACCAGCGGTGTTGGTTCTGGACGTGCTGCCGACCTCTCGGGCTGGGAGAACATGGCGAGAAGAATTGCTGAGAACTCTCAAGGCGAGTGCAAGATTGTTGTGGAATGTTCCACCATTCCTGTGACCACTGGCGAGACCATGAGGAAAGTCTTGCATGCCGTTGGCGATGCTGCCAAGTACGAGGTGTTGTGCTTCCCCTCCTTTTACAGAGGGGGGACAGCACTATCCGACCTGGAAAGTCCCTCCAGAGTTCTGCTCGGTGCTCATGACACACCAGCTGGGGTGATCGCGAGTGAAGCCATCACAAAGCTGCTGAGCAAGTGGATCCCGCGGGAGAGAATCGTTCACAGTAACTTGTGGTCTGCCGAGCTTGCAAAGCTCGCACAGAATGCGATGAAGGCTCAAAGAATATCATCAACAAACGCAGTTTCTGCTCTTTGCGAGAGAACTGGAGCTGACCTGACTGAAGTCATGCGGGTGAGAATGATCGGTCATGTTTTGCACTTGTAATGCTTCGTTCCAGGTGGTTGGCTCCGATTCTCGCATCGGGTCTGGGTACCTCCGATCTTGTCCGGGCATCGGAGGACCGACACTCTTGTCCAACCTTGCCATGCTTGTTTATCTTTGTGAAAGTTTGCAGCTCACGGACATCGCGGAGTACTGGCGAATGGTCTGTTCAAGTATTGTCACCAGCAACTGATTGGCAAGCCAGGTGATGAAGATGAACGAGTACCAGAAAAAACGCTTTTGCGACAATATCGTAAACACTATGGTGAACATAAAAAACAAGAAGGTTGTTGACAGGGAGTTTGTTTCAAGATCTGTGTGATTTGTTTGACAGATTGCAATCTTGGGATTCGCGTACAAGTCTGACACCTCCGATGCCCGTGAATCTCCTGCAATAGAAATCTGCAAGACGCTGTTAGATGAAGGTGGGAAGCTCGCTATCTACGATCCCCAGGTAGGAGAAAGAGAAGTAGGTGTAGCAGGACGAGGAGATTGACGAAGAGGAAGGTTTCTGTTGAGGTCATTGCCAACAATCTCAGTGGTTATCATCCTTTGCAAATTACGCATGCAAGGTCTGCAGAGGATGCCATCAAGGTATTGAAAAATCGCTGCCTCCATGTCATGACGGAAGACCAATGCCAGGACGCTCACGCTGCGATCTTGGTGACGGAATGGCCGGAGTTTGCCAAGATTGACATGAGATTGGTGAAGTTGACGAGATCTGCCCCTCGGCCCCCCTCCCCCCCCCTGATGCTCTTGTAGGCATGCGCTTCAATGGCTAAACCGCCATTTCTCTTTGATAGTCGCGGGCTCTTCGACGTGGAGGAGATGGAGCGAGTACAACTCTTATGATTTCCCCCTCCTTTATGGGTTGACGGTTTGAGCAGCTTGGCTTTCAAGTGTATCGCATCGGAAAGCCGAACAGAAGCACTTAACACAGCTATCGCTCTGTATCTCCGCTTCGTATTTTCGATCATCTTCATTTCAATAGTTTTTGCCTCATCGCATGCAGATATCAATACACTCTAACCACAATCGCAGCCGCTACAGCCACCTGAACAACAATCGCTCTCTTTCTTCGTCGATTTCTCCTTCTTGCGTTGCTGAGCAGTCATGAGTACACAGCCGACCGTCACGCAGCTGGTCATGAAAGGATCTATGACACAGAGCAAGAATAACACAAGCAACGCGAAGAGGAGCCACGAGAAGAATCTGTTCCTCAAATCTTCTTTCGACGCAGTTGCTGAGGCATTCTTCGCCCCGAAGTTCCCGGGCCTCGATCGCTCTGCATGTGCAGCCGTTTGATCGATGATGTTGGTCACCTTGTTTCTCCCAGCCACATGAAGCTTTTGAGCCTTCAGCTCGGATGGGCTGGGCAGGATGTTCTTGCGGGCGATGCTGACCTGCGGGAGAGCCTCCTCCTCAAGGACCTCGACCACCTCCCCCTTCACACTCCACTTGTCTGCACTCACCACCTGCGCTATCACCGACCGACCAAGCAGCTTCGCGTCCCGAGGAAGCAGCACTTGCGTGTACCCTGCCGTGTGTCCTACCACATAGTTCTCGTCCTTTCCGTACTCTATCACCCACACGCGCTCCTTCCTCCCAACCAGGTGATCCCACGTGCGGTAGCTCTCGAAGTGAGCTGTTACTCGCCTCGACCTGGGGCACGGCAGAGGAGAATCAGGCAGTGGAGAGGAGCAAGTCAATCTCACCTGTCCTTCACTACCCCGCTCTGCAGCTTCGGCATCTTTGCTGCAACAGTTCCGGGTCGAGGGTAGAACTGAGCGATGTTGACAATGGGGAACTTGTACTTGTCGAGGAGATCCATAGTATGCTGGAAATCTTCTTCACTTTCCGTCGGGAAGCCACAGATGATGTCAGTTGCTATAGTGATATCTGGCACGTGCTCAAGCAGGTAATCCACCAGAACTTCGAAATCTTTTCTTGTGTACTCTCTTTTCATGTCTTGGAGAACCTTGTCACTGCCGCACTGCACAGGGATGTGAAGGAACTTGAAGACGCGGGGATGGTTCAGCACCTGATAGATCATGTCAAGATGTGGGTAACAATGGCAGGGCCAACACGCACCCTCGCAACCGCTTCCTTGTGCTCTAAGATGTGTGGGGGGTTTGTCATTCCGACTCGGAGCATGACTCCATCAGGCAGGGCGTCAACGATCGCGCCAAGGAGGTACGGAAGGGACACGTTGATGTCCTTGCCGTACGCTCCTGTGTCCTCGCTGGACAGCCAGACCTCCCTCACGCCTTCGCTGCAGGGCAAGGGGAGGTAAGTGGAGAGAAGGGCCATGGCAACATCTACCTTATCACAGTCCGGACTCTCGAAACGATAGAGTCAGGAGTGTAAGACACCAGGTCACCTCTGGCATGCTTTGTCTTGCAGTATGTACAGTGATTCAAGCATCCCATGCTAATCGGTACGATTTCAACCAAGGCGTTCCTTCTGATCTTGGGGAGCTCAAGTGCAGGCCGTTCCCTCTGTCCGAGCAGCTTCACTGTATTTCCCTTGATCGCCTCCTCGACGACCTCCACGACTCTGTGGATCTGCTGGGTACCGATGATGCTCACGTCGTCAAACTCTCCTCGTCCCGGCTCCCCTTGAGGCACACAACCTGCCACTACCACTGACGCCCCAGACGACTTTGCCTTGGCTACCATGTTGAGAAACGAGTCTTGACTTGGCCCCTTCACAGTACAGCTGTTGAAGAGGAAGCAATCGACATCCTCCGACCATGTCTCCGTGATCTCGTAGCCGTAGGAGGCGAGCAGCCCTGCCATGTACTCGCCGTCACTCACATTGTGAGCGCATCCTTGCGTCTTGAGGAAGATTCGCTGCATGCCAGGAATCATGCTGCCATCACCACCGAACTCCTTCCTATCTGCCTTGGACACTGTGCTCTGCTTGGCGTACACTTCCCTAGACGGCCTTGACCTCCTGGTCGGAGTGACAGACCGCGTGGAGGTTTTAGAGGAGACAGAAGGAGGCGACGATGGGCCCAGAGAGACTTCGTCGCCTTGCTCTATCGTCATCCTCCTCTCCTCCGCGTCTTGCTCTCGCCTCATCCTCCTCACCTCCATCTCATCTTCTCTCCTGACCCTCCCCATCATCAGCCCAACATCTTCAATGTCGACCGCCATTGCCGCACGTGCCCACCCTACCCCTTGGTTTACGATAATCAGACTACCCCTCATTTCTCTCAACTTTTGCAGGCCTTGCAAGATAGGGTACACTACCCCACCCGGCACATCGAGCAGAGATTGCTGTGCAATGCTTCATCACTGCAGGGCGAGGAGGGCGGAAAAGAAGGGGAGAAGGGATGGGGATGATGAGGAGAGAACAAGATATTACTGCTGAAGAGTGAGTGTATATAACTTGAATTGCTAAGAAAAAACACCCTGAAAGCCACGAGAAATGAATCTTGAGAAGACATGAAAGCTGGTGAGCTGGTAAATACAGTCTGATCGCTGTTGCTGATATGTGTCATTACAAGTCTAATCGCTGTTGCTGATATGCGTCATTACAACTTAGACCTTGGGGCAGGTAAAACAGGCACGCCATGAGGCAGACCCATCAAGTGTCCATGTTCACAGATGTATTGTACCGAGTCTTTGATTGTGACCTGCCAGTCTCTTGCCTTGAAGTTGAGGATCTCCTGAGCAGCGTGTGCGTCGAAGTACCAGAAGTGATAAGCCATCTCGATGACGACTTTGTCGAAGAGCGGGTCTTTCCCTGCCACCCTGCGAACTGCATTCAGAGCGCTGATTGTGCTCCAACCGATAGAGAAAGGAACGACGAGCTTCGGTCCGGCGATGCCGGTCTGTTTCTCCAGCGCCTGAAAGAACTGGGCGAGTGACATGTTGACGGCTCCGATGAGGAAGGTTCGCCCGTTCGCTTCAGGAGTGACCATGGCCTTGTATATGGCGGGTACCAGGTCGCGCACGTCACAGAAGTTCAGCCCACCCCCGGGGACCCAGGGCACCTTCTTCATGAGGAACTTGTAGATGCTCTTGTGACGATAATACTCCAGACTCTTCTTCGATGCCAGCGAAACATTTCCGGGTCCGAGAATGGAAGACGGTCGAATAATCACCAGAGGCACCCCATGCTTCTTGGACAGTTCCCGAGCGAGCTCTTCCGCCTGCCGCTTGCTGTCATAGTAGGGCCAGTTGGAGATCACGTCCATGGCATAGTCCGTCTCATCGCTTGCTATTCGCTTAGCATCCTTGCTCACTGCAGTCGTTCCAGACGTGGAAACAAAGACAACCTTGCACTTGTTCTTGATCGCCGCTTGCATGATGACTCGTGTGCCATCAGTGTTCACTTTGTACACATAAGGTGCGGCAGATCGTGAATGGTCCACCACTCCTGCCACATGAAATATCCCGCTGCAACCTTCGCAGCTCTTGTTCACTAGCTCCTGATCCGTGACGCTACCGTAAGCAAACTCGACATTCTTGAGGGCCTCAAAGGTTTTGTCAGGCGTGCGAACCAACACGCGTACCCGATGACCCTGCCCTATGATATGATGAATCAGTTCGACGCCCACGAATCCGGTGCCGCCAGTAACCACGAAAAGCTTCTTACTATTGCTCATTTCAAACAGAGCTTTCACTGGTTAAAATTTCAGAGAGCCTTGCGAGAGAAAGGGAACAGGAAAGCAAGTCAGTGATTCATGGAAGGGGCATAGAAGCCTCAAGCGAGAGATTTTCCCAGAGGATAGCCGCTGCCTCCTCGCGGTTTCCCCTAAAATCTATCCATCCATCAACGAACCTCAGCTATCGCTGCCAGCATCATCATACGCTGTATACCGCCATACCGCCATGCGCCACACCTGACACAGGGTGTCCCTGCAGGGAGGAGCAAGGGTGGGTAGAGATGGGGGACACGAGGGGGTCTATCCGTACGTGTGGGTACGTAGGGGTATGAATCAGTGGGTGGGGTATATACGGTTAGAATGTAACGGGTATGATGATTCGAATAATTGAATTTTATTTTTTTTCGAAGATAGCATAATTATTCTACATCTTGAGCTGTCAATTTTCAAAAAAAGTTCTTCACAAAATGGAAATTTGTTACATTGAAGCACTTTTTAATTATAATTTTTAATTTTTATATTTTTCAAGTACCCTTTCCGAGAACCGGTTATGCACGAGGCTCTGGCGCCATGGTGAACCAAGACCGGGGACGCGTCGAACGGGGCATATGAGAAGGTAGAGGCGAAGACTCGGCTCTCCCACACCTTCGAAACCTCTGATTCTGATAGTCTCGTCATGCGACTGCTGCGAAATTTCTGAAAACGCTGCTCCTTTTCCCTTACCCTCCCTCACTGTAGTTCTCTCTTGACTCTTGCCTAATGCAGAACCCCTTTCAACAACCTATAAGAGCCGAAGCCGACGAACTAACTCCACATGTCAGCACAAATTACAACAGAGCAAGTGAGTTTAGCAGAAGATTGAGCATGTTTCAAAAGGTGGGGCTTCAGAGAACATGACATGTTGGTCTCTTTGTAGGTTTGGCAACAGGTTCAGCTGTTATATCATGGACATGACAAGCAGATTGCGGACGCGGACAGATGGCTCAAAGTGAGATTTTGCTGGGAGGGAGGAGACGTGTTTCCCTTGATCATCTGCATGGTGTTTAGGATTATCAAAGGACAGAGGGAGCTTGGGCCTCTCTCGAACAGCTTTTACACACAGAAGGCCTCAACGAGGAAACACTGGTGCCTGCTCGTGCTCATCCCTCATGATGCTCCTAGATGCTTCGTTCCCTGATTTCCTTCTCTCTTTGTCGTTCTATACTTTCTCGACAGACCTATTCCTTTCTTTCCAGAAGATGCTCAAGTTTCTGTGTTTGTGTGCTGATTTGAATGAACAGTTCTTTGCTGCAAACACATTGAAATCCAAGATTGTTCGAGGGGTGAGAATCGCATGAGATAATATGAGAGTTCATGCCATAACCTTCTTGCAGGATCTTGAGCAGCTCGATGCCAAAGCCCAAGAGGCGCTTGGGGGTGAAGCAACGAAATTTCGTGATAATTGTTCGGGAACAACTGAAGCCTGCGCACAGGATCACTGATGGCACACATTTACAAGTTTAGAAATGGGCCAATGACAGGTTGATCATTTGCAGGACATCACTGCTATCTGACACTCCAACAGTAAGAAAGCAACTTTGCTTAGCGTTTTCGTCGTATGCTGGGGAGTTCGACAAGATTCGATCGAACATCGTTGAAGTAAAGCGGCTGCCGTGATCTGCTAGAGCTCCACGTGACGTTGAGGCAGGAGGTCTGCAAGGCCATGGGATCCTCTCCGGACACGATGCCCGTTCTGCTGGATTTGCTGACCCTACTAGGAGAGGAGGCAGCTCGCGTTCAGGTTCGCTCCTGGTTGGGGCTAGAGGTGACGTTGAATCCTCGCCGTTCAGGAGGACTCAATTGATCTCCCGCCCGACCAACATCACCATCTCTACACCTCCGCTTGCCAGTCCGCTCTCGCGGTCCTCAACTTCACGCACCAGGTCTCAGACCCTTCCCATAGTCAATCATCATTCTTGACAAGCGGATGCAGTGCTTTTCAAGCTTGCAAGGGGATGGAGCACAAGCCAAGCAGGGCAAGGGGCAGGTGGGCGACACAAGTCCACGTACAGAAGAAACTTAGACATGAGCCCCAGGTCATGACCTGCTTCTGCCGGTGGCTGCGTTTCGGCACAGTGCCTGCCGAGCAGATGGTCCAGGTAATCATCGGCAGCAAAACAGTCGCTTGTCTTGACAGGGAGCGTTGCTCAGAGTCCAATCGTACATGCTGCCCTCCCAGCCATCCAGGATGCGGACTTGTGTGAGGCAGCGTCAGATCTCTTGTGCGAGCTTGCGTACATATCTCGAGAGATGCCCAAGGGACTTCCGATCTTTCAGATGTTGACTGCAGCTTTGGAGACCTTTGAGGGCTTGGTGAAGAAAGCACTGCATGAAGAAGACGATATTTTAGGGCGATCCATCACACGAGTGGTGGTCGAAATGGGAGAAAGTTATGCTCCGATTCTTGCGCAAGCATCTCCAGATGCAGTGAGGATGATCAATCTCATCTGCCTCTGCGCCTCAAATCCTGATCGACGGATCGCATCGATCACTTTTGGTTTCTGGTATCGATTGAGGTTTGCTTGCAAGTCTTGCGGATAATACATGTTGACATGTTGACCTTCAGTGAGGCCATGAAGGATTTTCCTCAAGACGTAAACTTCTTCTCTCTCCTTGCTCACTTTTGACCCCGAGCTTTCAGACTCGTCTCAAATGTGTCGAGGCCATGGATGCTCCACTCTCACAGCTGATGATCGTGCTCGTTCGAGCTGCGACATTTCCGGAGGAGCATGAAGAGTGGAAGGCAAGTCTAACGCAACTCTGAGGGAAGTCTAAAGAGTTTTATAGGAGAATGAACAAGATGAATTCAGAAATTTTCGACTAGAGGCTTTGTTCGACGCTGTGCTGGATCTGTGTTCCATGCTAGGATCCCTGCGGTGAGGACCGTGACTTTGACCAGGATGAGGCTGCCAAGTCACCATGTACAGATGCTTGAAGATCGTTCTGCCGGAACTGCAGAAGAGCGTACAGAGTTGTTCATGGAATGAGGACGGATGGAGGGCGGTGGAAGGATGTCTGTTCACTGTCAGGGTGTTAGCAAGACATGTGTCAACCGATGAGAACGAGGTTGTTCCAGCCCTCCTGAGTCTCTACACACACCTGCCCGAGCACCAGAGAGTACGTCAGGTGATTCTACAATGCTCCTTCTCCTCTCATTTCCCTGTAAACTTCTCCTTCTCTCACTTCCTCGAAATTTTGTCTTCTGACGTTTGCTTGACAACTCTGACGGATCTTTCAGGCCTTCACGGTTGTGATCGCCAAGTTCTCCCCTTGGCTGAACTCGCATCCCGAGGCCTTGAGGCCGCTGCTGGAGTATGTAGTCAGGGTGAGCTTACGACGAGCTGGGGCTGCGGGGATGACGTGGCCTCAGGGGTTGGGGCCGTCGAAGACGGGGACGTTGGCAGCTGAGTCTCTTCAGGTTCCCAATGTCCGCAAGGCTTGTCGCTTGACTGGCCGCAGGAACTTTGCGATGACTGCGCTGAGCACATGGCGGGGAATGCGAACCTGGAGGGCCTGATGCAGATCTACAACAACATCGACTCTCTCGAACTCCCGCAGCAGGAGAAAATCCTTGAAGGGTTCGGCGCCGTGCTGGCGCGGATTCCAAGCGAGCAGATCGCGCACATGCTCAGTATCGTGTCGAGCCCTCCGATCCGGGTAGGTCGAGCTGGGGATTGGGAGACTTCTCACGTAGTGGGTCAGGACGGGATGGCGGCGCTTGAGCGGCATGACAAGACCCGCGTGTCGATGCAGATCAAGAAGCTCAAAACCTTGCTGTAGGTGCTGGCGATGCTCCTGCCGCTGTGACAGGATTGCAGGAAAGGAGGCGTCTCTGCGTGCGACGACAGGTCAGGGAGGAGGAAGTCGTGCGACAAGGAGGTGACGCGATGACGTTGGCGCGTGAAGTGTTTTCACTCTCGCTTTCAGGTCCTTGCTAAAGCCTGGGCTGCGAGCTTTGCCAATGTGAGTGTTCTCCCCTGAAATCCCCTCTTCCCTTCCTCCGCTGACCAAGTTGGTCCGTTGCTGAACAGGCTTGGCCGATGTTTGAGCAGGTAATTTGTTGCCTTGTTGGTGATGACAGCACGACTGATCTGTGATTGTTTTAGAGCATCATTCTATTCGGACAAGATGAATCTCTCATGGAGGATGTTTGTCGCTGCATCCGAAGTGCAATCCAGGTGTTGATCATCGTCATTTCACATTCTTCTGTTCTCTCTCTATCTCTCTCTCCATGTGCACACAAAGTTCCCTGCTAGCTGCTCTCATATTTGGTGCTATCGTTGAACATTGTCCAGGCAATCGGGTTGGAGTTCAAGGCCTTCCTGTCTCCTTTTGCAACGTCAGCTGTCAACGCGTACATCAAACACCCTCTCTCGGTGACTGAAGAACAGCAACGACAAGTTCTTCTAACACGCACACAGTGCATTCTCTATGCTGTGACGACGGTCGTTTCTTTCTTTGGAAAGTATCAGGTCCCGTTCGCACTTGATCCCATTCCGGATCGATGACCAGCCTTTGCAGGAATTCGTGGGACCTCTGTCGGAGATGCTGGCAGCACTTTCAGCCAGGACGTTTCAGGTTCTGCCCGTGCGCGTGCGTAGACGAACTGAAATGGTATAAGGTCTTCTCGTCAGGAGAGGCCTTCGTGAATTCTCCTGACATCGTGACGGAATACTTCGAGATGATGGAAAGGTGAACTAGAACTCTGCTGCTGCGCTACCGACCCTCCTCTTCCTCCTGCCCCTCTTGCTCGTGCTCCCTTGTACTTCAACTCCACTTCCTCTTCCTTCCCTCTCGCTTCCCCTTCCCTCCATTCCTGCATTCCTGCCCCTCCACTGATGCAGGCGCAGGGCTGTGAGGAGGTTTCCTCAGGTGGTCTACAACTCCCCCCTGGTACCTTCCTCTTGCTCTCCTCGCCGCACAAACTGAACACGCGCAGGGTGAGAATGCGCTCTCCTGCGGGGTTGCCTCCCTCTACACCAAACTCGAGCACAGAGAAGCGATACGGGTAGGGGAGGATGGGGAGAGGAGGCAGCTGACATATTGTAGGCGATCCTCTCTTTCTTCGAGAACGTGGTCCTGTCAGATGCTAACAAGGAGAACCATGAGCTCTGCCGGGCTGATCGCGAAGCAGCCATGATCTTCCTCGTCGGCCAGGGCCCTGGACCCTGTGGAACTTCTCCCCAGGTGACAGGAGAGAAGGGAGAAGTTGGGAGGGGAGAAGGAGGCAGAGAGAGAGGGAGGAGGGGAGGGACAGAAGGGGCGAAGAGAGGAGAGGGAGGGCACGAGGAACTGAGTTGTGGGTCACGCAGCCACGAGGGCAGTCGATGGTACAAGCGCTGATGTACGCCATCACCACGAAACCCTCAGGTAGGAAGGCGACGCAAGTCCCTCGCTGAGGCTGCCGCAGTCGTCGTGGAGCCCGTGGCGACCATCTTGTACGACCTGGGCCGGGTGACCTCCAGCTCGCTCGCTCCCCGTCCACTGACGCGTTTGTGCCAGTTCATGCCAAACCAGAGGATGGAGTGGGTGATGGCAGGCATCGCTGTGGTCCCAGGAAACATTCTCTCGCAGAGTGAGGACATGTCCTGTGCTTCTCGTCTTGCCTTTCTCTCCTCCCTCCCTCTCTTCTCCTATCGTATCTGGGTCATGCGCTGTCTTGCTTGGCTTGTAATGTCCAGTTTATCTTTTCTTAGTGATTTCTCGTCTCTTCTTCTCTCAGGTGCCAAGGACATGTTCGTCAAGGACCTTCCAAACGCCCGCGACATCCCCGCGTTGAAAGGCATCGTCCGTCAGCTCTACAGGAACTGCAAGACGTCCTGAGCGACCGGCTCCCTTGCTCCTCTCTCTACGTAAAGACGTCACACTGGCATTGGCGGGGCTCCGGTGCTCGCTCGCTCTCTCGCCCCGCAAGGAAGTCGAGGATGTTTTCAGCGAAGGACAGATCATCCTTGCCGAAGTAGATGCAGTCCATCTGCTCGTTGAAGACAGCCGCGTACCTCTCCGACCTCATCCCCATCTCGTAGCTCGTCTCGTCCACTAGCTGACCCACTGCCTCCGTGAACGTCCCGTTCCCGTCCGCGATCATGACGACCTTGTCCTCCACATTTTGCTGCTTTCCCCATGCCGCCATCACAAACGGGTCGTTGACGCTGATGCAGGCAATGATGTCGATCCCCTGCGCCTTCAGCTTGTCGTGGGCAGCCAAGAAGCCCGGAAGATGCTGCTCGCTGGAATGCGAATGAGTATCAGTAGAAGCATGCAAGGCAAGGAGGGAGGTAGCTAGCATTCAGGGAGCGAGTAGAAGCATGCAAGGAAAGGAGGGAGGTAGCAAGCATTCAGAGAGCGAGTAGAAGCATGCAAGGCAAGGGGGGAGGTAGCTAGCATTTAGAGAGCGAGTAGAAGCATGCAAGGCAAGGAGGGAGGTAGCAAGCATTCAGAGAGCGAGTAGAAGCATGCCATGAACTTGGCAACCTGCAAATCGGGGTGAAGGCGCCAGGGACGGCGAAGAGGATGCTCTTCTTGCCCTGGAATAGCTGCTGCACGCTCTTGTCCTCCCCTGCTCCTCCTCCTGCCCCCACCACCCTCACCGGCACCTCGGGGATACGCATGTTTGTGGGGGAATATGGCCAGAGGCGGGCCGGGAAAGGGGATGCGGGATGATGGAGTCGGGGGCAGGGAGGAGAGGAGAGGAGAGGAGGGGAGGGGAGGGGAGGGGAGGGGAGGGGAGGGGGAGGGAGGAGCTAAGATAAAGAGAGGAGGAGAAGGAATGCAGTGCAATGTTGTCGATGGGAGGAATAGAGATGTGATCTAGAGGAGGCAGGATACGGCAGGGGAAGAAGGGGAGGAGGGAGGATGAAGAGGGAGACAGGGAGGGAGGATTGATCAGTATGGGTGGAAGTTTGCAAGCCGGAGCCATTTCTCTCGGATGTACTTGACAAAAGAATATACAAGCATGCAACCGAGGCGACATCACCATCCTCCTCCTCCTCCTCCTCCTCCTCCTCCTCCTCCTCCTCCTCCTCCTCCTCCTCCTCCTCCTCCTCCTCCTCCTCCTCATCCACGTTATCCCCGCCTGCATGCCTCAACATCGTCATCGTCGTCCTTGTACTCATTGAGTCTCGTCTCATCCTGGTCTTCATCCAGTCTTGTCAGTCTGTCATCGGCGGAGGTAAGGAGAGCTTCAGACTCGACCATCGAGCTTTTCTGTGAGACAAGAGGAGCGAGTGAGGGCCAGCAAGGCAAGAGGTGCAGAAACTCACCAGGTTGAGCACAGTCAGCCTGCTCCTCTGATGCGCCAGCTCCTTCAGCTCCTCGTTCAGATCCTCCTTGCCCATGTCCTGCAGCGACTGCTGCTTCGACTCCTCCGCGGGGGTGTAAAACCTGCCACACTGAACGAGCCCTGCTACGTTTCTCTGCGATAGATAGTCGATCTGATTGCCCAGACTTGCCATCTCCTGCTCGTTCTCCTGCTGCTCCATGCTGCGAGTGTCGAACGCCTGCCTGCTCGTCAACGCATAGGGCGAGGTGGTGAGGGAGGGCAAGCGGAGGAGGACAGGGACCACGAGAAGGCAGCGAGCACAAGACGGGGGGGGGGGGGGGGGGGGGGGGGGGACGGAACCGTCGTC